TATCGCTCTTCGCTTGCACTCACACACCCACCCACTTCCCCAACCGACTGGCCTGTCAGCCACACCTTCTCCATGGTACCATAAAACGCCTTCTCCTTTATTAACACACAAATAATTCCCTTACTAATTGTAAGCAAGCTACTCATTTACCATAGTCTGACCAACCACCTCAGCATTGAAGAATCTTCCGCTTACCGACGTGGGATTTTGTGCGACTATGGAGTGATCAAGAGTAACTTTTACCATTTCGCATCCCACAGTATTCCACAAAGCTTGGGCCTCCCCTGTATACGCCTCAACATGTGTATGTGAATTAATTCTCAGTTGCATGAAAAGTGAAAAACAGGTGCGGAGGTAAAGCCATTTTACAAGCACCAAAATTATGCAGGTCTAATAAGAAGTGCTCACAGCAGTGGGAAGGAGTACCAGGCCCATGTCGAGCACGCTCTTTGTTTGGTGCTTTTCTGCGACGTAGGACTCATTGTTTGGTGCTTTAAATTTGTGCTTTTCTCCTGCTCTACCGTTGACGAGCATTGCAGTGTAAACCATGTTTGATTATTCAGCCAATGATAGCTGAAAAGTCCCCTATCGTTCTCCTCTATCTCATTAAAAAGTTTATACTTCTTTTACTTGTATTAGTACTGAAGGTATAAATATCCCACTTCCTCAGGGCATCTACATCCGATTGGAAGACCATCGCTTATCCGCTCATTCAGCAGAAAATCGGCTCAACTTAGGTGTTGCGCCTTGATTTCATTGTCCGACAATCCCCTCTCATTTCTGACGCACTCTGTCCCGCTGTTATGTATTTAAGGAAACTCAACGGTTCGCCCTATGGCTAACTTTTTGCAAAGGATATAACTTACAAATCTACAAGATGCAACCGAACGATGCCGCGATTGCCCATCAATAATTGCCTATGCTTACTTGAATGGCAGAACTCCCATACATACAAATTACCGCTTGGAGGATCTGCAATTGACGCAAAAATTAGAACAAATAGATCTGCCTTACAATTGCGTTCCTGTACGTGGCACTAAATGAGCACTGCTGCAGCCCTAACTGACGTGCCTTAGTGGACTTCATAAATGGTTAAGAAATAGACTTGCGACGCAATAATCTAGATTCTCCATAGAAGCAAGAGAAGACAACAAAAACGATAACAATTATCAGTAATTCGAGGGCGCAGTCACACACCTCCCACAAATGACTTAATAAGGCTGAAAATCAGGTTTAAGCTACAGCCAACGACAAGTGGTAGTGATAATAAGTAGAAATATGCTACACAATGTGCATTACGGATGCGAGATGAAAGTAAGTGTACGATGTCATTACCTAAAAACCAACTCTCATAATATCTCGACTTGCATAGTTTACAGCATTTAAATGAAAAACCGATCTGCTATGGTTCAAGCGCTCTACTGCTCCGGCCTAATCATATGAACTAGCAAAAAAAACATCAAAAGATTGCCAATAGGGCAAATCGACTAGAACTCAATGAACGTGAAAAAATTGATATAAACGGATAAAATAACTGATGCCGCCAATAAGAGTCAAGAGAGAAAGCAAAATCAATTCCATTAAAAATGTGATAGCAAGCTGTGATAATTGTGCTTAATAGTCGTTCGACAGAATTCTTACCCCTACGAAAGCATGGATAAGAGCACCTCCCGATACGACACCACAAAGTAGGAAGCACACCACGTTCATTTACCCGCTCTCGACGCTCAACACTCAATTCTCTCAATTATAACACCAAAAAATCTTATCTAGGTAAGTTGCTAAAGGCATTATGCACTATTGGTAGCAGCACAATCTGTTTAAATTTGCATTCAAAAGCATGAATTTGGGTGAAAACGAAGACATTTGTGCATTAGAGTTCGTCAAATCTTTGTTGAGTTAGACTTGCAAGTTTTACTCGTCTACCAATAGAATTTCTTCTTATATGCTTTCGCTTAGGACGCGTAGTCACAAAATTACTAAAGTCGAAAAGTTTAGGAAAAATAAAACATAATCCAAGTGACCTCCTGTAGCGATCCGCCACTTCTCTTTGTGCCAAAGGCATCAAGTAGGGAGAAAGAAAGGATTGGACCTTAACATGGCCGAAGACCAAGGAAAAAATCAAAGTAAAATGGTATTATACTTGTGTTTAACACTCCGTTTATGTAACTATCTGTATGAGTTGCGATCACCTCTGGACTTGTCCCGCTCTTGATACCCTATCTCTGCGCTTTTCCTATTGAATGCAATTTTAGGGTCTATGTAATGCGTTCTCGATGCGTTACATTGCGATAAAGTAGGTTTCGCACCCTATCTGCCAATTGCAAATCGAATCTTTTTTTGTCAAAATAGACTTGCAGAATAGCTATTATTTGCAATCGTTGATTCGTCCAATTGATGTTTGGTGATTACTGTGGTATGCATTTTGTTCTACCACGTATGCACCGGACCTTCGAACTAATCTGAGCCCCTACTTCTTCTTCTTCTTCATCTCCTCCTAGAATACACATATTCTGCCTACCATGATGCCTTCTTTTACCTTGTGAGAAGTCTCCAGGCGATATACCAGCTTCATTTCATTTGTTGATAATACTGGCAATTAAATGGTATTTCATCTGTTCATCTTTCCATCGACCTTTGAGTGTACCTTTTCCAAACACCTTCATATTTGCCGCAAACTATTCTCCTGTTATACTTATGCGCTTATATTTGCTATTGCATTCACTCCCACACAAATCCTGTTTGCTGATGTAATTGATTAGTTAAACTATCATTTTGGCAGCATCTAACGACGCGACGCACAGCAGATGCTTGACTGCTGTGTCAGCAACGTAAAGGGGGAAGTAAAGTTAGTAGGTAAATTTTTGGAGTCCTTTTTGTTGAGAGGCGATTTCCGTCAAATTTTGTGATTAATTGCCATTATTGTGTACTTTTAGTGGTCTTCAGTGCACGAGTACATCTGAAGCATCCAAAGACCCTCTATCCGATAGCGCAAGCAGCACAAGTCAGTTAGTTTCCAAAATCGGTTATCATTCCTGTGTATGTTGTATTACCATAGGCATTGACAAGCGCACAATACCTTGTTTACTTGTCTCTTCGCTTCGGCGACCATCTTGCTTCCGTCGGTTGGGCTGGCCTTTGAACCAACGACAAAGCCTCTCCCCTACCCTTTTTCTCTGAATACAAACAACCAACCAAGCCTTATACCTTCTATTATTAAACAGCAAGTTGGGAGGCAAAATAAAACGACTTTCGATATCGCACCAACGTGTAGTATTTTGCCTTTGACCTATGGAAAGTGTGGGCTGGCTTTTGTCTATCCGTACCCTTCAAAGTGTATTTGAAGTAGTCACATACTACTGAAAACCCAACATTGGTCACTGCTTTTCGTCCTGATTGCCCATTTACCGATGTCGGGATCGAGGAGACGTTGTTTGCATTTTAAATTTTACAATTTGTCTCCACTAATGGTGTTACTTTCTATGCGAAGATGAGCAACATCATCAATGTGCCTGACTGATGAGGGCGCCTCTTAGCTGCGCTTATAAGTTAACCTACTTATTTTACGTCTCTTTCTAGCGTCATCGTGTGAACAGAAGGACCATCAATGTGTGAAAATTCACCCAACTTCGCAGAATGATTCTTTCCACGCCTGAGCTGCAGAGCAGAGCAAAAAACTTCCCTTCAGCACTCCTCATACTCAACTCCCATTTTAGGGCAAAAAACGTTGCCACTGAAGAAGCTGAGCAAAGTTGCTGGCTTTATGGTATTTAATAAGGAGTGAGAGCTTGATGGCAAGGCTACCAAATGTTTGATGGTCGTAACGCCTTCATGAACACCTCATAGGATTGAAGAAAGAAGAGCCTTGCTACGAATGCCTTGAGGGCTTTAAGTCATCCCACTCCCATTGATTGGAGTCTTTTAACCTCCACAGTGGAGAGTCGCATGGACAACTCAAGAGACGGAAGAGTTGACCAACTTGCAAATTCTTATTAATAAAAAATATGAGGAAAATTTTTTGTTCTCTGCACAGACGTTGTCACTACACAATGGGGAATGGAGACACACGGTGGAAGGCCAGGACATCCAAAAGGGGACACATTTTGTGAAGGAAAGCACAAACATAGTCTGGAAAGTGGACAAAGGTAAGTAAAGTACTGCCATACATGACCCTTTCATCACTTTCACCTCCTCACTATCACACATTTAAAGATGTACTTCAATGTGCTGTTGCGATTGTCGTTGGAGTCTCAATTTTGCTACGCGTTCCTCAGACGGTTCGCTCACCACACTGACGCAATTGAAGCGACACCAAAGATGTCCGAATTCACGACAGTAGTTGGTTGAAAATAAGCCAAATGTCAAGACGAAAATGGTGAAGGGAATTACCATTGTGGTGATGAGAAGTGATGCTCCATATGGCATCGTCGAGATGTACCTGTAGATTTCAGAATCAGTGGCAGTTACAGCACACCACCAAAGCAAGAGAGCCACGAGAAGTAGAATGATGGTGTCAAAAATGAGGAGATTGCACAACACTCCAGCGAAGAAGAGACAGCGCTTCCACTACAAGAAGGGAAAGATGGAAACAATGACTTGCGTCTGAAATTCCCTCATTCCATCCCTTAGATTGTTTGCATAACTTCTGAGCAAAGGGGAGCAATAAATTCATGGTTGCATCCAAGGAGGGTGACGGTTTAAGTAAGTAGGTCTACCGATGTATGAAGGAATGAATTCAAGTGTTAGTGAGGGACCAAAGGGGAATACAAACGCCACGCAGAATCGAAGAATACCGGAAAAGAAGGGATGATTGGCAACTAAAGGGTGCATAGAAAAAAAATTTTTTTATGTTTGGATGGCGATCTCATGGAACTGAGGAGTGCATAAGAAAAACAGTGAAGAACGGCAATGAGGAGGCAGAAAATATGACGAGTTTGAAGGCAAAGGAGATAGGTAGAACAGTTGACTTTAAAAGCATCAATTTTAAATGTATGAAGGCTTTAACCAAGAAATGAAGACTTTCGGAACAGGAAGCAAAGGTGTTGATGAATGGAGAGATGGACTGTTTGATTGGACTAAAACAGGTGAACTGGTGCTTTTGTGCTTTTATTTTTGACATATAAGTAGCTCCCTAAGTTGAGTGTAGCCTTATTTCTTCCAACCTCACCTCTTTCATCGGCTTTGTGAAGGTAAGCACCTCGTATTCGAATCGACACAACTCACAACTTTTCGAGCGACTGACTTCCATCCACCGCTGAACACACTTTTCATGCACATACTTCAAAGTGCCGTCACAGAGGCAAGGTGCAATCAATTTTCCATAGGCATCGAAATCCAAATCAGCAGTGGATCCATCGGATTCGTGACAGATTCGACAAAAGCGAAATTCGTCATGCGAAATGCTGGTAGTTGATGCCACACTCTGACGAATCGCAGCTTCATGCGGAGTAGGAAGCAAAGGTGCAGGCGCAATGACCACAATGTCATTGTCGGGAGATCGAGGAAGAGAAGGATGCGGAGTGATTGGCAGATTGTTCCCTGTATCGGAGAAGCTATTTTCATGCCTTGCCTTCTTGTGTTTACCATTTTTTATCTGTTGCATTAACAAGAGACAAGCTACTCAACACTTAAAATTTTAACTTTATAATAGTCTCGGCCAAATTCCTTAAAAGCATGTTATTTGCCAGCAAACCTGTACTCATTAACCTTATTTCCATAGCCATACTAAAGGGAATCCCTTTGCATTGCTATATTTAGCTTTTGCTATCGTCAATCAGTTTCAATCTTTAGCGTAAGTGGTGTTCTGATTATAGATATTTGAATCAATGCACAATATTAAATGCAAATTAAAACGTAAATGCCTGGGAAGTTCAATTTCATGGCTATCAATTTAAGACACCTAACGATGTTCGTTAACTTTCCATAGAATATAATTAATTAGTTTTGTGTTTTACAATGCTGTTCAAGCGCTATTGTTGGGTCCTGTACGTAGGATGGAAAAAGGACTCTCTTGTGCAAATTGCAAACATAACTAAAAGTAACGCAATCGCAAGTTGCTAACTTTTCGTCAATCAATTGTAAATACGTTAAAGCATAATGCTAAGTCGTTTTGTCGCATACAACCTCCCAACACTGATCTGTAGATTTCCTAGAATCGTAAACTTGGTCACTTATCAAACGTTAAACCAATGGTCAGCAAGTTTTTCTATAATGTCCCTTTTAGCAGCACAAGTTAGTCAATATGACTTAAAGACAGGTTTTTAGCCATAAAATGCGAGCAGTAACAATGAAAGCAGATAGTATCGTAGGTTCTACACTGATGTGTTAGCTTACATGACGTACTACTGACCAGTTGATGTTGCTCACGTCCATCTTATCCTTATCCAACATAGCCGTCAACCCGAAATTCAGCTTCTTCCTTATGAGTTTGCAGAATGATACTTGCTCTAAACTAGCCAAAAGCCAGCAGAACCTAAGGTAGAATTGCGAGTTCAAGGGACCGGTGTAGCTTTGGAGGACAAATAATCACTTGATTATTTACTTAAACAAACAAAAATTTAAACAAATATGTAAATTGTCTTTCATAATCATAATGAAATCAATAAAGAATAGCAAAAATTGCTTACGCTATGGTAGGTTTTCTTACAAATCCATCGAGGGCCATGAAGGTTAAATGCAACAATGTTAGCGTCGAAAATCGATCGCATAGAACGCTGTGTAAATTTTGTTCTTAAAGTCAGCGTTTTAATTAAATGCTTAATTTTTTTAAAAAGATAATGTAATCTAAAATAATACTGTTTTAAATGTAGTTGTAATGTTCAGCCACACTGTGAGGGTGATAGGTGTCGTGTATGCTAGTGTTTGAATTGACCTTTATGGGAGAGGGGCAGGAACCAAAAAAGGATCGGAACGCAAATCCGGTGTGTGAGGTGTAATGCTCTGTTTATGTGGCTACCTGATGTTTGGCGGTCACTTTAGAATTTATCTGCCCTCTGTACGTGTGGTCTGGCCTTCGGGCCACGCTCAAGCTTTGTTTGCCCCTTCGTCTTCGAACACATGAATTCAATCTCACTTATGCCTTCTTTTACCGTATGGGAATTTTTCAGACGCTACATGAGGACCGTGAGGAATCTGTCTTCGGATGAAGTCTACTATTCGGGTCATCTGTACTCCTATCCCCATTCTTCTTGTATTAAATGTCTAATAAATATACTGCTACTAATCCTCTCTAAAAGTTCGAGGTTCAGGGCGAGAGAGTAGGAAGGTATTCGAATGCTGCTTTAAACTCTGGGCTGTAACTGTAAGAGCTGCCTGTCTACCCTCTGGTCCTCGAACCTCGAAAGAGTTGGTTGTAGATGATTTATTAGGCATTTGCTGTAGGAGGGATGGGGAATGGGATGCAGATGAGGCGAGTAGGCAAGATCAATTGGAGGGACACTCCTCGCCGGCTTCGCGCACGCAATTCGCGTTCCCAGTTGGTTCCCGCCTCTCACTTATGAAAGTACACTTAAATCGCAGTAACAGCCACCACCTTTCCATTCTCCTTCTATACCAAGCTTTGTATCGTACATCCGGATGCTCGCCAAAACTTCTCTGACTAGACGCACTCCTTAGGGCCCAGTCACGAGGGAGTCCGACATAAGCAACATTGGGACTACAACATGCCTTTTGCATTCCCATTATGTGCTCTTTAATAGCGGATCAACGATCGGTGTGTCAGAAATGTGCAATGTAGGTCTTCGTTTCAACTGGCTGTGACAGTGAAGAGGGGCTCGCACACCCGCCAGGGGAACACTGGTACTCCCACTGTAGGTGTCAAGACACTTCCCGTTTTGTAATAAAAGACACAAGGCTTGGATGAACACAGTTATTCAGACATAAATAGCTTAAAGGGTACGACGATATGTTTATGCGACTACCTGTAAGACAGCATTCACTTTTTACCAATCTTGCTCTTTTGGTGTAGGCATGCATTCGGCCATGTTTAATGCCTTTTTTACCTTATGGGAGGTTTCAGGATGTTACAAGGGACTATGGCTTGAATACAATCGCATACTGCTAGTCGAATGAACACTTCAGCGCCCCGAGACTAAACATAGGGTGGAAGAAGGCAGTGAGTATGGCTGATGTATGCATTCCGAAGGGAATAGAGCAAATGGATTTGAGCGCGGCCCAAAGGCCAGCCCACGTGTACAAGGCCCAGACAAATCCGCCAAACCAAAGTAGTAAGCCACGACCTCAGCGCCTCCCTTTGTACACCTCCCTCGCAAGTCATCACAACATAATCGGTACTGCAATAAAGCACCCACGAACCAACCACGCCAGACAACAGCAACCAGGCGACCGAGGAACGATCGTTGGTCTCCTCAGCAGCTTCAATTGGACCTTGCGTTAGGTTCGGTCTCACAGTCGCAGCCATCTGTTGCCCATCAATTGGTTCCGGGACTCAACGGTGGAACTCCGGTCTCAAAAAGAACGCTTCAAGGAAAATGGATTCAGACACAGTTCCGCGTATAAAGGGAATGGTATTGTCATTTTCGGTAACTATACGCGGATTTTGTAGGTGAAATTTACGGCAATGTCGATTCATTTGTTAACACCTTGTCTGTGAAACACGAGGACAAGGTGGGGCCAAATGCAAACATCGGTCTCAACCATTGTGTTGGGAAGAATTCAGAGGTTCTCCTGCCCTCGACGTAGCTGCACCTCCTTCACACCGCAGGTGGATACAAGGGGTGAAGTGGCTAAAAAAATTGTCGAATTCGCATTTTACAGCCACCAGTGTAGCGTTCCGACACTCCTTGCCGAGTAGAAGGAGGCATCAAGTGTGGTTGAATGCCCGAAGACCAACTTACACGCACCAAGACCAGACGAGCACCAAAGTCACCACCAGGCATCAGGCAGTAGCATAAGCAATGTGTCGTAACACCGCCTACAATTTCTCCAAGCCTTGAGGGTCAGTGCTTGCCTACCGCCTCTACCACGTGACAGCTGTCGATGCGTGCAGTTGTTGTGACATCGATGTGAAGATGTCGCTGCCTTGTGCTTGTGGCAGCGCCATCAATGCATGGGCAGTAGAAGTGAAATGGATTTTGAGCTTGAAACAGCAAACTAAACTCTCCGTTTGATGCGATTGTCAAGTTTTTTTTTTGATTTAGCGATTGAGGCACTGCTTGAATGAGAAATGTAAACTTTCATCGTCGTACCAACAGTGGCTTAAAAGTTGAGCACATTTATACAACGCCTCGAAACTTTTCACTTCGTGGAGAGCATTAGGAAGGGCCTTAGGAGTAGAACCGAATGTCGGTTAAAATAAATGGCAAAAAGGTGTCACCACTTGTATGATTGACTCTTGTACACATCAGCTAGCCACAACTCAATCTGTCCCTTTTCCCACTTGACCACACGTTTTCAGCCCACTTAACGCCTTCTTCTACCCGGTGGGAAGTCTCGAGATGCTGCACCAACAATTGGATTGGCAGCTCTGGGCATGGGTGAGCGGACAAAGGCATCCCAATTTGTCCTGTTACTAAGCGGTATCAATTTTTACCACTTCTCGATGCCTCTCCTGGCGTTGTGCACACTGCTGACCTAATGCAGACACCATCGGAAGCGATGAGAGCTGAAATGGAATGTCAAGGGTGCGTTGTGTAAAGCTTTGTTCGACTGAGTGTACAAGTAACGGTCACTTCGAATGTCATCCTCCTTCATCTCGGTGGGGTGATCGTCTGAGTGTGCCAATGTCCGCCCTCCTCACACTCACATTGCCAAATGAGCAGTCCTTGGGCCCTACAGTCAGTCTCCTTGGCTTGAGTTTTGGTGTGTATGTGGTAACGGAATTGTCGTTTGTTTTCAAAGGCTCCTTTCTTTCACTGCTGTGGTTGTTCACTGTGACTCGTTTGGGAATTGCGTGTTAAAGGTGCGCAATTTCACCTCACCTCTCAACACACGCTGGCCTGAGTCCAGTCTCGGGAATTCTTCAAGCTGTAACTTGTCCTTTTCTTTTATTTATTTTTGTTTTTTTTTTTTTCGTTTTAACACTGCAATCTTGACTCGTCTATTGGCTTTTGTTAGACACCAAAAACTAGTTTTTGCCCTCTTGAATGCCTTTCTACGCTCGTGGATAATCTTTCATCCAGCCTGGTTCGAGGGTCGTTTGTCTGGTCGACTGCCGTATGCGGACGAGGTGGGCAAATCGTGGATTACCCGATCGCGGTGATTTGACCGTTCAGACAATAAACACCACTGAGCCTACAAATTATGTGTCTCAAGTCTGGCGGCATATTTCGTGCTTCCTTTGACTCCTCCGTCGTTGGTAGCGGGTTTGCTACGACTGTGTCAGCCGCATTTGAGGGTTACCGCGAGAGGTGTGAAGAGACGCTTTGACGAGGGGTTTGCATGGCTGCGACCGCTGTATTGCGTTGCTGCATCGTTGCCACGTCGCTCATCAAATGGCGCGTTTTCCGTGATGTGAAAGTGTTCAGTCAGTCCGTACGAAAAAAAAAATGCAGTTGTAAGGTGAGCCACTCTGGTCATTTTCAACTTTCTGCCCTGTTGTAACAACTTTGAGCCCTGATTTTGTTGTTAATTTGTGGATTGAGACGAACCCCAAGTGACGCTCTCCCTCTAATTAAACAAGTCTCTTGAGGGACTAAATTACTCTTTTGTTGTGCAACTGCTAACCAGTTTTGGGGCCTCTCGGTGGCTGCAGGTCCCAGTTCCACTCGATGCCATGGTTTTGAAGTAGTGTCACTGCATTTCTGACCTCACGGTTCACCAACAATTTACAGAGGAGTGCCATGAGATTGCACAAAAAACTGTCCTAAAGCTGTTTCCTTGGAGAGGTACTGAGCAATTGCTCTCTCGCATGACTGCGATCCTGTCCGGTACAGCTTTGCGTTCGCCAACGGATCAACTGACATTAGTTTAACCACGACAAAAAAAAACAATCACATTTGGATGAGAGAGAAATGAGGTTTTGTTGTATTGAAGAGAAACACCACCTTCTGCAATAGCAACCCCATCCCTTGCCTGTCTTTCTATTTCACCGAAATGAAACCAAATTTTGCCCCTCATTCGCATGACACTTGACTCCGCATCACAATTTGCCCCCCACCTTCACTGTTTGCCATTCCCGTGACTTCCCGCATGACATCCCATTTCAGCATTGCTAGGACGGTGAGATTGGCAGCGTCGTCCATCACTGAAAGTACATCTCAGTGATTATCATCGTCACCTTTGAGGTTGGACCCAACGTAATTCCCCTTCCACTGCTTAGCATTCACCTCCCGACACTCACATTCTCACCGGCCACCGATTCATTCTCACCCACTAAAAAGCATCTCCATGTTGCCAACTCCACAGTCCCAAACTTCTATGCCACTGCCCAATCCGTTTCCCACTTCACACTCCAAACACAACTTCCACCATCAAACCGACCGCACAGTCCAATGAACAGACATGTCAGCATATGGTAAATACCACTTTACTGCTTACAACATCAGCATCGGCGTGGTATTGAAATGCGCCGAAAGGACACTTGCCGCCGTCAAGGCAGAGAACTGACAAAAAGCTGAAATTTTGGGTCGCCAAAGTAGCGCAGGTCACTCACACCCTCAAACGCCCATTGCACCTCCGCATCACTCAGTGGTCGTCTCATGTCACTTCTTGTCGAGATTTTGGCACTGAATGCCATACCATCAGGTTGGAAGTGCCGTTGTGGTAGCGACTCTTGTGGCACCGTGGCTGTACCGCTGAATTTGGTGTTGCGTTTTTGATATGCAGATCGAACGGGATGCTGTGGCACAGCGAAGACACCGTGGTCCATGTGAGACGCTCTGGAGTTGGTCCCTTGCAAAGGCATCTGTGATGTGGAGGGTTGTGCATTCATGGAGACGCCGTCAAAATCAAAACCAACATCTCTGCCACCGCCACCACCACCACCGATGGCGATGCTGCTGTCATCGCTTCTGTTGATAATGTTTGCAAGCTTTCTCCTGCCATCCATATTAGTGGCGCTGGTGCTGCTTGTGCCGCCGTAGAAGTAGTCGTAATTGTTGGTGCCGTAGAAAGGATTCATGCTGTTGGGGACGGTGAAGGAAAGAACTGACAATGTTTGTGATACATGCGTAAGTCGACCACACAGACACCCACCTCAACCGCAATCTCTTCCCACACCAAACATCGAATTGGCGCACAACGTCACATGAGCCTAAAGGAGGCGTCACCCTACAGCATCCAACTCCGAGCACCCATCATTTGCTCCACTTGAAGCACCTCAAGTGATCACCGCAGTTTCGGTCAGTCGCAGTAGCAACTTCACCCCACCTCCACTGTTTTACGTGAGTCAGTGCCTTCAGCATTGCATACATTCACACGTCCTCATCTTTGTTACACTACTCCACTTCTTCGGACTGCCTCAAGCACCAAGAGGAGACAATGAGTGCGCCTGCTTGTGCCAGCGAAGAAAGATCCAGCAAGTCAGTAAAATTTGACTTTGCTTTTGCATTAATCTGAAATGCTTCTACAATCATTGCCGCTGGAGTGTTGTGGTGAAGTTATTCACTCTTCACCACCATCGTCTCGGTGCCTTCAATTCGACCTTCCAAGCATGAAATCGTCAAGCATTAAACACACAACCACACAAACCTCCAACCCACAAAAGAACACACGCACTGCATGAGTGAATGAAGGGGAGAAAAGGTGAGGAAAGGAATAAATAAAAGGCAAAGTGGGAGAGTCGAAATCAGCAGTACCAAAATGCATACAAAAATCTTACGTTGATTGAGCAGCGCAATTGACAGACACCAAAGTGAACTCAACTGCTGCCAATGGTAAACGCAAATGACCAACGCATCTGCATGTTCACAATGCAAATCCAGTTCACGGCCTTCGGTCACGTGTAGTCGTCCTCGTCGTCACCACTCACAACGCAGATGTCATCTATTTGGTGGTCCACTTGCTGCTCCGATTCAGCCAATGTCTTCTCGGATATCAACTTTTTCAATTGGTTGAATAAAGTCGCCCCACCACCACCACCACCGATGCTTCAGTCGCAGCATCGTCCAAGTCACCACAAACGTGCTGACGTGAGTGAACATGCTGGCTGACTTGTGGGCACTCCATCAAAGCAGACCACACGTCATTCCATCCGCTGCCACTTCCAGTCTTACCATTCTTGACATGAAATAGCACAACATCTTGACATTTCTTGTGTTCTGTGCTGCACTCAACATATGTACTAATTTTTTTGTTTTAATTTCTAAATTGACCTCAATTCGCCACTCATGATGAAATGGGATGTCTTGTGGAGGGTCATGAGATTAGCGAACGGATTGTGATGTGGAGTAAAATGTCATGCAAATCAATGGGAAAATTTAGTCTCGAGTCGATGAAAATAGAGAGAGAGAGAGGAAAAGGATGAGGCAGAGAATCGCCAAACTTTTGAAGTAAACTAAATTTAATGTCTCGTCACACCTGATGGTCGTAAAAGAAATGACCTTTGACCTGCGTAGATAGGAAGAGGAATAACAGTGATGGAAGAGGGTGAATCAGTGGGCCTTCAATTCGTCCTGGTGACTTTTGGATGCAAAAATTTGCCACAACTTTGCACGCAAAGAGGGTGGAGGAGAGTCACTGTCAGTACAGTGGTGGATGTTAGTTGAAGGAGGTAAAAAGGCAAAAACTCGCACTGCAGACCTGGCGCTTCCTAAATCCTGCTCCACGACGATGCAATCCAATGTCTGACGGCAATCATAGCGACACTTGTTTAAGCTAATGCCTCTTGAATGGTGTCGAATGTGTCGGATGGGCTCGTCAGCCTAATTTTTGCATTAAAGCAGACCTTCTTGGAAAATGACTGTCAGCTGACTGTTAACTTTCATTTGGTGCATCGCGATGATGGTGTTCGAGCCAGCGAGCCCTCCAAACGTGGAGGTAGGGTTGAGAGAATTGTGCTAGGGTCCGGCGTTAAAATGCACGCGAGTCTGGTTGCCTTCGATGGCGCAATCAAGAAAAAAATGTCCCAACTGGGCTGCAGTTACCGACCCTAATGCATGACCGTGTGGGCATTCCAACATTAGGCGGCCTAAAGACATGGTGAGAGCCAAAAGTGGGGTATGAACTGCTTCAGAAGTGGATGCAGTCATTGGAGCTTGATAAAAGAAAAGCCCTTTTGGAGTCACCGCAGTGCCAACTAGTAGATTGCACGATTATTGAGATCCCAAGAGATGCGCATATTGAAAAAAGTGGTCTGGACATTCTTATGTCTTACTTTGAGTCACTAATTTGCTTGATCAACCCATCCTCTTAGGTGGCGACAGAGAGAGGATTTTGAATAACACTAGAAAAGTCATACGGCTGTGATGACCTGTTTACAAAAGTTAGTATAGTGAATGGGCATTTTAAGGAGGTTTGTTTTGCAAGGAACTGCTAATCACACAGTTGAAGTTTACTTCGAACGATTTGCTCAATAAAATTGGTTTGCCACGATCGTGGGCATGGCGACACGAAAGCGAGAGTGGCAGCCTTCTCGCTTTTTCTGTCGCCCTCTACACCATTTGCACAGTACAATTTAAATAATTCGACTTCAAATTGCAAGTTCCCTCAACTCTAATTAATAGTGAATAACTGATTGTGGATGGATTAACAGGCGCAGGAGGCGTTGTACTAAAGGTGTTCGTTAATACTGCTTCCGTTCTGACGTTTGACGCTATGACCTTTTAATGATACTTCGAGTGGCTAAACCAAATGGATTTTTGACAGGATGATTGTAACTTTCGGTTGAGGAAGTGAAGTCATTCTAGACAGCGTCATCAACTCTAACCTTAGCTGTACGTTGCATGCATGTGTTCACCTATCGCCCTCAGGGAAGTTTCAAGGCGCCAAATCGTTGGCAACTAAAAAGTGGACCTGTTCTCTAAGACACATGCTGCGGTGGTTAGGCCTTGGTTTGACGAAACCGTGCCCTGCATAGGGCTCCAAAATGGCATATAAATTGGCAGCTACCTCTGCAGAAAAGCCGCTTTTAGCTAAAGGCACACAAGTTAGGAATGCACATCACCTGAAGAGATCATTTTTAAATCACCTGAACGATAGATTATGTGCTTAAATGTTTGCTCCAGTCGTAGCCATTTATAAGATCTTTAGGACATTTTTAGAGTACAGTCTCCCTTCTAAGGTGTCGCGCATTTTACCATTTGTAAATTGTCTTGGGGACAAAATTAAAGTGAGAGCAATCCGACATGGAGGAGCGTATTTGAAATGCACCACCAAAAACTATTGTTTAATCTCTATCTTCATCAATTGATTTTGATGTTATTACAGTACATCAACTAATAAAGGCACCCATAAGGTGGAAGAAGGCAGTAAGTGAGGCTGGATACATGTATTCCAAAGAGAACAGAGCAAATGGGCCTGAGCACGGCCCAAAGGCCAACCCACGAGTACAAGGGCCAGACAAGTCCTCAAGTGACCGCAAAACATCAGATAATCGCACAATCAAAACACTATACTCTTGATTTATACTTTTGAATTTTTGCATAAATAGCCTCGCCTTTGAGTGAAAGGAAGTGTAATAAAAGAAGCACATTAAGTTTTACAGTAGGAGAAAACGAGTGGTCTTGACAGATTTTAAATTCATAAAATTATTTGCATTAAGAAATTATATGTAAAAATAATGTGTGTTTCCTAAACTGCTTTACAAGTATTTGTCCCACCGTGTTTTTAAGCGCTAACATTGCGAGCACTCATACAACATTAGTTTACAGCTCGATTGCCTTTGTATTGGTGGTGGTGGTGGGGGATTGTCTCTTTATCGAGACATTGCGTTCCTTATAAAGTATTTTATGTCCAAATCGACTTTAGTTAGCATAAATTCCACATGGTTAGTTACTAAAAGCGATGGACGACGGTCTCTGCGAGAGCACAGTTGATCCCCGGCGGGTTTGGTTAGCCAATCTCCCATCTAAATCAACAGAGTTTGCAGTTTTGCAGCTAATTCGGCCGTTTGGCAGAATTTTGGATTTTAATTTTCCTGTGCATCAGTCTGGAGGCCCTTTGCAGGGTTCCACGCTGGGTTACTGCTTTGTCACGTTTGCTGCGGAAGAGTGTGCCCTCAAAGCAATGGAAAGGTTTGATCACTTTTAATTGGCACTTAAATATCTTTTCTATAACTTTGCTGTTTGATTTACTTTGACTGCTGCATTGACAATTCTATCCTTAGGCTATAAATTGTGTCTTCTTATCTCGTGGCTTTTTCTATTACTTTTATTTCTTCTGATTCAGTCCTATGCCTTATTTCCAGGTTGATAAATTCGGTCGGTATAAAATATGATTTTTTATGGTCTCCTCTTCTGTTACATTATCTACAAATCGCTTCATTCGCACATTTTTTATTGTGGGCTGGTTTTGTTTGTGAATTCCTATAATGCGTCCTGAAACATCCCTATATGGGGTGATATTTAAGAATCCTGAATAGTGATCGAAAGTTGTTTTATGGTGGGAATCAGTATGCAACAAGTTCATCCGCAATTTTTACGATTCAGGGCTCAGCTTATATACGACTGAAGTTGAATTTTAAACCAAAAGTTTGCTTTTGTTCATTGGTTAGGGTTCAGCTGCAGCATTGTGTTCGAAATTTAACCTTTCATTCTTCAGCTTTCTAATTCTACCATTTTACTATTCCAGTAAGCTCAACCCGATGTTCAAAAGTGCAGCAAAAGTAGAGTAAAAGGTCGTCATTTTGAGACAAATCCGAGGTCTAGCTGGTTCTTCTAATGACATTTTTTGCTTGTCTGCAGTTTGATTCCTTGATGATATTGGACTTGCAGCTGAAATAATTTGACTCATCAAGGAGTAAGGAAAGGATCATTGTCATCCCCTAATTACTACTTTCAAAGTTATTTAACAGTCGACTCTGCGATTGCAGCCGCTGCGAATTAGGATAAGGCATTTTGTACATTAATGTACTGAAATTGATTTAGATTTCTGAACTTGGATTTGATCTACTAGGAGTAAAGAGGGTTAGAAACTGCGAATTTTTGATTTTCGACGATGCTTACAGTCTAAATGGGCGGACGTTCTGCGGCTCCGTGCTGTCGGCACAACGCGCACGACCAACGAGAGAGGCACTGGCACAGTGGCGAGAAGCTCGCGAGGAGGCGCAAAGGGCACGCATTGAAGCCGATCGGCAGCGACGCGAGGAAGAACTTGCCCGAAGACTCAATGCAACGTCTCCCACCCTCCTCACTGCCACCGCTTCTTCGATTTACAGTGGCACTGACTCTCGGTAAGCAGTGTCTCCTTCCTCAAATTGTTCGATTGCGCTCTTCCATTGCTGATCCGTAGCGCATTGTAAACTTTTGGGTTGCATTTCGGTTTGAACCGGACTTGCCTGTTTCCTCTTTTGTGCCATTCAAAATAAGATTGACCTCCGGCTAGTGAGCAATAATGGAATGTGATAAAGATATAGTTAATTCTGCGTCCCATCCTTCGATCAGAACAATCTATTTCAAACACCGCTCTCCTCTTTGTTGCTGCTCCCTTGTTACATCCATGAGTCCAAAACATTTGCTTGTAGACGTGTTGCGAGTCCTTGAAATGGGGATTCACACGATCTAGTGCTGATGTTGCTTTTTTGATCTTTTCATATGGGATGACTTTGGCTGCAAATTTTGCGTTTTAGTAGTTGTCAGTCGCGAACTCCATCATTATTTCCCTTGTGTTAATTACAATACTCGCTGTTTCTGATGTTAATAAGAAGTGAATTGTCCCTGTTTTTGTCGCAACACCCTATTGACATTCGACAACTGAAGTATGAATGTCCGTTGGTTTCCGGAGTCGATATGAGATATGCACGGTGGTGATCGACCAGGTTCCAACTTGTTGTACTGGTTATAATGAAAGGCTTCTAAATATTATCTAGCGAACTAGGTTTTGTCCTGTCTGGTTATTTAATCCTACCAGTTAAAGGTGCTAGCCCTATTTTGTCTGATCTTTTGATAGGTGACGATGTTTTTCAAGAGATAAAAACTACATTCACACTCATACACAATCGTATCAAGGAGTTGCCAATAAGACAGCTTTTTTTCATCGGAAGTGAATTGCTGATAGCTAGTATCAACTACGTAGTGAAACCATCAAGTATTTGTGAGTAGCTCTGTGCTCAATGATCTGTTTATACTTTGAACTAGACATTCATCTACGCTAAAGATGGCGTTTCATGCTTCGAATATGTGTTTACTGTCACAACTGGAGTCGCCTACTCCCATTGTGACGATAGCAGTCATTCTTAAAATGTCTGCACCAATGACTGAGTTTCGTACTCCTTGACTTTCGATCCCAGTTTTTGTATTTGGAGGCTCCGTGCTAGAGGATGTGACTGAAAGTTCCAAGAGGCAACTTTAGTCATCCATCCCACACTACACGATGTGACTTGCTGTGTGCGCACTGCTGCTGTTACTTGCTATGTGAATTTTGCCCAAACATTGAGCAGCAGAATTCATTTCGTTTTTTTTCCACTTCCTCCTTCGTGCTGACCGCGGTCCTACGCCTCAACGCAGTCTGCAGATAGACACAAGTCAACTACCTCCGTTCCTGACCTCTATGGAAAGTTGGGGCTAGTTTCAGCCAAACCAACCGCTCATCCTCCTTCTCCTCCAAGTGAGTTCTCTTTTCATGGATATAATGAATTCCTTGATGATGAAAGTTTCAATAAATAAGTAAATTAATGCTGACGACTCTGTCAGTAACCCGGACGACCTAATGCTCTATTATTTGTCTCTTATAGAAATAAGTCACGCTCAGAGCAGGCAAGCAATCCGACGTATTGAGGCGGCATTGCGCAGCACGTCACAGATTGCAGTGCAACCGGCAGCCCTGAGAACAGAGGAGGAGAGGCGTCGGCAACAGCCACATCCTCTTGTAGCGGCCCTGTTGGCAGGGGGTAGGCGACAGCCGTTGGGAGGAGATAGGCGCTCCTGGAGTCGACGTGGAGGCGCCGGAGGGCATCGCTACAATCCCTATTCGCGTCTCTGACTATACGCAAAGTGTGCTTTTGTAGGTTGACACTCCCCTTACATCGGTTAACTTTTGCAGCCAATGCATTAATCAATCCACTCGCGTCAAAGTAACCAATTAGTTGTCCCTAATGCCAAGCCCGGCATAGTTCCCTCTCTCCCATGACTGATCCTAACAATAAGTCCGACACAAGGCAACTGTGACAGTCGTCGATTCTAGTGTTTTCTTTATGTATCTGGTTTATTTCTTCCTACAAAAGGCAGGACGGTAGAGAGATGAGAGGTGAGAGGGATAGGCAGAGACGACGCAGCTGAAGGAGAGGCACAAAATGAAACATATTTTGGTTCACTTTCAAGTAGTGGGGAACGGGTGATGGTGTTGGGGTATCGGTAGCGTTAATGATGACCTCTTCAATACTATGTACAAGAGCAGAGGCGGACAGAGGAGGTTAGACCACTTCATGTCCAACGCAGCGAGATGGTGCTAGGCCAATCGGGACGAGAGGAGTCGGCATTAGAAGACATCACGAAGTTGTGCGCGCCGATAGTTTACTGATCACTCGAATCAACGACTTATTTTCATCTGCCATGCGCGCATTCTCCTGACGCAGCCGATCTATTTCCTGTTGAAAAAAAAGCAACAACAGTAAGAAAAAGTACATCACTTCGTTAACAGGGGCTTTTAACACTTAAGAACTGAAACAAAACAAAAACACTGGGTGACACACAAAAGGAATCGCATTTGTGCATGCATGCATGCAAGCAAGCCATCAAGGAAGTGAACAAGCAGAGAGAGGATGAAGGAGGAAAGATGGAGAAAGAAGGGAAAAGGGAGGAGGGGGGCATGCACACCTTGGCTTGGTCTTCAAAGAAATCCACGGAACGTCGTTGAGGCTGCAAAGCAAATAAGGCACAACACATTCAACGCCTAAGTCAAGGGACAGTGTAGCATGGAGTCGATGCCTCTGTTCAAACTGCATTTTTGCAGAACAATCACTCATCCGTTTGTGGGCCATCGGTTAAACTTCTGTGGTGAATGGCATATACGCGCAGCTATTTCGTCGATTATTAACTCCAGAAGAGAGGGCCTTTAGTAGAGGTGTTTCCTGTCGGCTCGACGCATTCGCATCAGCAAGCCAGAGGTGGGGCGAGTGTTTGCACGTCTGGCGGCTGAATGCTGGAGACACTGAAGGGTTTCACCGTCAAGTAATCATTTATGTTTTGATTGTGTAGAGAGAGAGATGGTAAGTTGAAATGAGATATGCTTTCTCGGATTGTAGACCTATCCAGGATCGCCACCATTAGTAAGTACCATCAGTGGTACGGCGAAGACGACTGCCAAAACGGTAGAAATGATGGCAACATTCTTACCACCAACAAAACTAGATTCTGATGCATCAGAGCCGTTAAGTTTTGGAAGAGTCGACTCAACTGAATGCCGTTAAAGACATTACGGCCAATATCCCTCGCTTCCCTGAGTAACCAACTATGCTAATAGTTAGAAGAGCATGCATTTGATGTAGCTCGAGCAACAACGTGGAGCCCACAACACCAAGACAATGGAGGGTGATGTCAGCACAATGACGTGAACATACCGCAGCGGGGGAGGCGTCGGTGTTGGATCCCAAAGTGCCGTGTCTGTTTGGAGTAAAGACGGTGGAGGGCGTGGAGTTGGAGACGTGGAGACGAGCGAGCTCACTGCGTAGAGCCGCCACCTCACGACTGACCTGTTCAAGGGTGCGCTTTAATCGCTCCTTCTCGCTTCGCTCCTCCTCATATAAAAGGCGATAGTCTAGGTTCTAAAAAAAACACAGAGCGCAGTTGATTGGCATTTCGTAGAGGCGGACACCAATTGTTCACCATCTATCATTCAGACAGCAGTTTTACAGTAAAGTGTTATCGCACAAAACGTCTAAGGAAAGCGTAATTTCACATGTCCGATAAAAACAACAGTACAGTTTCCAAAAAAAAGCAAATTTGAAATAGCCAAGTCAGTTTAACAGGTAACAAAAATGAGACGATGGAGGTGCTAATGCTAGGTCTCGCGACTTCAACAAAGACGGTGGGTGAAAAAAAAAACAAGTCTTCCACACAAAGGAGGCTACAGGGGTAATTAATAACAGACGTTAGCACGACGCGCTGAATGATAATAGGAGGCACCTCACGCCAGTTGTACCGCTGGTCACCCAGCTTCCCGACAGAGGAGGTGGCGATGGAGGAGGGAGTCGAGGAGAACTGAGATACAGCTGGTGAGATACGCCGATCCCCGCTCCCACCGTTGCTCACATTATCATTGATGTTGGTTGGGGTGGTGTTTAAAATTGTCGAACGGAGAACACGCGTTGTTGGCTTGATTAAAGGGGATAGAGGTGTGATTTCAGTCAAACTAGTCCACACATTTCGAAATTGTTTGATAGGATTAACTTTATGGGCGACTACTCACGCGAGGGATGGGGTCAGTGGCTGTGGTAGTAGTAGTAGTGGTGGTAGTAGTAGTAGTCGCAGCGACGGGAGCATTATCGGTGGAGGCATTTTGCTCCACTTGTTTCGCTGCCGCCAGCACATCATCCGTATTCAATCGACCCGTAGGAACTCTATCTCGAGCCGCACGACGCGCTCGTGTATGCGTGATTATTGATGAGGGCGCAGCGTCGGCGACTGTAAGATGACAGTAACCAGCAGTTACAAGAGGTCTTTGCAACGAGTAAAAGTGGACCCATAGGGCGTTTACCCGGAGGAGTTGTAGTCGCAGAAGAGGACTGAGTGGGAGTGATCGTCGCCTTGGAGACGTGAGTCGTGGCTCCGAGTGAGGATGGTTTCTGTTCAATCTCGTCAAGGTCTGAGCAGGATTGCAGCTTCCGTGTGGACTGGAACTGAAAGGAGATGTTTAGTTAGTTTCACTACTTATCCAAGCAAAGTAGAATCGAGTTTAGGGTTTGTGGCTGGGATTTTTGCGATATCGCGCCTACCAGACATCGAACAGCACCCCGAAAGGAAATTGATAATCGGGGTCCACGCAATGGGCTTACGCAGCTCTCAGTACCTTCGCAGACGACCTGAAACGAGTCGTGTGGACTAATTTGAACTCTACTACTACTACACACACATGTACACAGACACACACACACATCTACACATCAACTTTTGAGTAGGACATTGCAAGCAGAGCAAAAGGACTCGTGCTAGTTAGAGCTACAACTCACCTCAGCCATGCCTGCAATCGCATCGCTATCCAGAGAGGTCTGGATTCATAAAAGGTACTTCTGGGTTAGAAATACTGGGAAAAACGCACAGACACGGACAATCAAGAAGCATTCACTAAAATTTGAGAACCGATTAAACCAAAGGCGGACAGATATGAGGAAGCAGTCTAGCCGCAGACGCTTTAAAAGACTCAAGTGGCTTAATGTGGTGCTAGAAGGGTTACGAGAGGGATTACGATGCTGGGTTTGGGGTTATCTTTTTGGGTAAAATGGAAAAGATAGAGGGAGATGGAAGTGATAAGAATAAGAAACATCTCACCGGTTGAGAAAGGTGACCCAGTGTGACCTTCGAGGCAAAGGATTGCGGTGGTGATTTTGGTGGTTGTAGCGGTGGCTGTAGTTGTGTTGATGCATTCTACGGGTGGAAAGTTAGGAGAAGAGAAGGAGAATTCAAAGCAGACGCCAATGTGCAGCTACACACACACACATAAACACATGCCAGCAAGAGCTAGAAAGCCTTCTTTCCGTAGGTGGGCGACCACCTTAGACCAAATTGATGTGAGGTGAAATGAGTGCTCTACTTGTCATCGCATTCACAGAAAGGAGGTGATGAGAAATTGCACTTGTAGTTTCGTTCTTTTTTAAACAAAAAAAAAACAGCCAATCTGCAGGGTGGAAGGGAATATGTGCCATCGCTATAGCTACCACCACTAAGCTAACATGCGGATGGATGAGTGGCTTTGGTACTGTGTACACAAAGCAACACACGCATAAACACACAGTAGTCTTCACTTTCGGTGCTTACACCACCTTCGGGGGTACTCCGCTAACCAGGCAGATGGACGATCATGCAAATGGAGAGAAAGAGGGAGGAAAGAGTTGCTACAACACTTACCGGCAAGATGGAGGGTGAAATGGGTGGACTGGCTACGACTTTGTCAATTGGCTGAAGCATACACACACAAGCATACGCGAAAGTAAAATTGTCACAAGTACGAGCCACACAACAGACCGCCTGAAAGTACAACCACACCGACCTTCCCAAGCCACAATTCGTCGCCTAATTTGAGCCCCAGAAAGCGCCAAAAATGCTGCTCAAGGCTATTTAGTGAACTACTTAAATGGACTGCGCATGTGCGCAAAATGGACAGTGTAAAATATGAGCAGATGGCAGCTCAACACCCTGATTGCTAAAGATTGACCAAAATTTAAGCGTTTAACTACTCTACATGGGCTGGCTAGCCTTGAGAGCATCGAGTGAGCCCGTCTATTTTTCAACCACATGACGTCCAAAGTCAAGTTTGGACAGGTTTTCAACTTCCAGGCATTGGGGGAAGAAATTGTGTCGCACCGAAGTGATGACAAAAATTAGCCAAGGCATTGAACTAATTCAACTGACCAATTGAATGTCGCCTGGTTTTTACTAGTTCATGTTGAAGGAGAAAGTCCTAAGTGGTCGTCACTAGCGTCTACTTTGAATTTTCAATTTGAAGCAATCGAGTTGAACGAGCACATGACATGAAACTAAATGCAGTCACTTCAACAAACGCAAAGGAGTTCAGCATGATCAAAGGCCGTCAGAAAGGGCTTCCAAAGGCACAAACAGTGCTAACAAAAAGGTTGGTTTAAGTAAGTTTGAAAGGCATATGAGATTCCTGGCGAATTGTTGAGCAAGAATAAAACGTGTTAGGATAATGCAAGAGTAAATGAATAAGCAAATTTTCGAACACAACCAAATGTCAAGCAACAAGCGCCAATTGAAAACACATCTGCAAGACTTGTTTGGCGCGGGAGGGAAAAAAATAGGGAACCACGCAAAAAAAATGGGCCAAAAGAAAGTAGACCAAAAACCGCGACGAGTATGAAGTGGATAAAGTCAAAAAAGTGCTGTTATATCTAAAGTACGCATTTTCAACTTCCGTGGCCATTTGGTGGTTGCTATGGCGTTTGGAATGTTGACGACTCGTTCAACGAACCAAAGGTTCAAGTTTCGGTCATTAAATAATTTCGTAGAATATGCAGAGGTTGTTAACCGGTGAATCGTGGACTACGGTCGAAGTGCAAAATCACGGGAAAGGTCAAAAGCACGGGACACAAGCTGTGACATTAAGGCTAAAAATATGAACTTAACTAGGCGATGCAGAAAGCACTAGTGAAAAAAAAAACCTATTTTAGGAGTGGCATGACACTTGCCAACGGACTTTACACCACCCTTTCGCTACATTCCATCCAGCAACACTCAGTCTACTCCTCCCCTCACCCAAACCACGGCCTCCCACCATTCAATTCAAGAGGATGATCACACACACACACACACAGACGATGACTCATGCGTTCCACAAAGGAATATTTCGAGGTAGTAATTTCCAGACATGCCTCAGCCCAAACGCCTACGGTCCATCCAAATGCCGTGCACCAGTCCGCCAGTCCACACCACCCCTCTCAATCCAAACCGCGATCAACGCCACCAGTGCCTACGTAAGATGAAAGGATGCGGCATGTACGACCACCTCCCAACTCCCAACCACGCTCTGCACACAAGTCACTTGGAGTTCAGGATCAGGGAAAGTGGAAGAGTCACACCTCAGACAGTAAAACATCTTGATCATTCGTAAAGCTACCTTAGGAGTGGCTGTGATCGTCGGTGCTGGGGTGTGAGGTAACGGACCTACCCGCGATGCACAACACAATAACCGTTTGCGCAAACACCCAGCCAGAGCGGAACGTCAGTGGTCTCTCCCAAAATTGGAGGAATGAATCGTTACGTGGAAATTCTGACGACGATGCTATCACTCGTAAGCACTGCTAATCACAATGTTTTAACACAGGCTGGATGTCAAGACAGAGTTAAAATAATAAACATAAAAGCACATGACAAAAGTGCATTGAGAAATAGACGGAAGCTTTCGTCTGCAGGAAGTAGTTCGTCTACTTGCAACTCCAAAACACCTCGCATTTCCAGGCAAGTGAAGGCATTTCCTGCACAAGTTAATTTACAAGCTATGCGAAAGCACTTTTCCCTGTAAAATGTACTCTTACTTCAGTCATTTCTCCCCTCCCCCTCCCCTCCCCCCGAAATACCTTCAGGCACGTGTTAAAGTCGTTAGTGTATCTGACCCAATGAAGTGGCCTGTTAACACGAAAGGAGAGAAACGTACTGAAATCCACTGCTGCAACCATCGTGTCAATCACAGTGAGAGGAGCAAGGAGGAAGGCAATAAGAAGCAGTGGAGTGGGAAAACAATGCAATTAGAGCATACCGCCGTGGGTATGCCTGAGGCATTGCCAATCACGAAAGCACACCACCAAAACCTAAGTGGCAGTTGATCAGAGAATCTATGGATTGACCACATGAACTTAATTTCAGCTGAGAAGTGACATTGTCCATCAGAAAGGGGGTAGAGAGCAAATAAAGCAGGAAAGAGGAGACTGGCAATAAGGACATTCGGCAAATGGTGGAGGTAATGTGGGGCAGACGATTAATTTGAACGAAAAACAAAGACAAGGAGTACAGGGATGTCATGATCAGAATGCTGACATGAGCCTGTCGAAAGCGCCCACCCACATGTGAGCACAGATGCCCTTTGTCCAGGAAAGAGAGGTAACTTTAAATGGTAATGACACGTCCAGCGGTTTGAAGGAGAGATACTGATCATCCACAATGCACATTCTTTCCCGGAAGGTAGACAAACAACCTAATGATCCCGATTTCACCTCAGCTGCAGAAAGACCTGCTACTTCAGGAACATGTACTGATGACAAGAAAATTCAATGATCGTTTGCAATTTGTTAAAGGAGTTAGATGCAATCAAAGTGACTGAGACAGTTTTCCTGCACTGGACGTGAATTAACACTAACTGGAAGAAGAGGTGTCCCCGTGTTGAAGTTTTAAGTCGACATATACAGGATCTTTGAACTGGTAGTAAGAACGAAATGTCACATACAGTTATCGACTCAAAAGCAATTGTTCGCTACTTTCTACAGCATTACAAACATAGAATGAATAGAGCATAGCCTTCCGTTTCGGCCTCCAACGCACATGTATCTCGAGGACACAACATCACTGCACAGAGAAGCGGAGTGGAGGAAATGCAAAATGAAAAGTTTGTAGTCTCACCTGAGCTGGCGTGGGTGAGACAACAGCAGCCACAGCAGCGGAAGGAGTAGGAGAGGCTGGGGTGGAAGCGCCGGCAACACTGAGCCGTTTAGCCTCTTCAAGAATGTCATTTGCGATGCCTTGCGTAGAGCGACGAGTTGATCGCACTAGACGTGCCTTGCTACTTCGCTGAGCCTCCGTCTCTTCCGAACGAGCGGGTGCTAGAACGGCTGAGATCCTGTCAAAGACAAGTGGTCAAAGACTTGGATGAACAGCGTGGTTGTTGTGATGTAAGAGCCAGAATGTCTTCCCTTGACATCACTTTAGTCCAAGCTGGTCAAAGTTTGATTTGTTAGGAGGCGGCAACCAACAAACAAGCCGACAGTAAAGTCCAGGACAGACACTCCAAACAGTGTACACCCAACTCGGCTGCAGGCAGTGAGTACATGACTAATAAGGCGACCTGAGAAACCGGAACATCAATTAAACTTTGCATTTCAGAAACACTCCCATTTACTTGCAAAAGCAGTAGGCTTGGAGAGAGGAGAGTCTTTTCATGGCCACAGTAACCACCCATACACAGACCTGTACAAACTATCGGAGTGACTCAAACTTAACGTTTCTAAAGTATCAGACAACGCCTTGTGAATCACCACCGCCTTGGAAATCTCACATGCTTCAGACCATGGAACTGATCGAGGCTGTAATGCATTGTCAATCGAGTAAACAGAAGATGAGAAAGCAATGCAGCTGCTTTGCAAATGAAAGCAGATTATGCGTAGTGAATAAAAGAAAGTAGGAAAGCGTTAAAATAAGAAGAGTGTGGGAAAGAAAGTACTACACTCCAACTATGCATCACTGTTGTTGGTCCTACATCATCAAAGTGCACAAAGCAGTTGTGGGATGGGACTGCTATCGTCAGCTTTCTGCTACCAGTGCTGAAAAGCTGGATAAATACTTCAAGTTCACGAGCAATGATTCCATACTTCGTAAGGTGAGTCGAGTATTAGCGGCATCCAATCAGCCTTTCTCGAAAACAGTTAGTGAGCGTTAGAGAGCGGCATGTATGAGCCTACCGTTTGATGGTTGTGTTGTCCTTCCTACCATGACGTGAGCTGCCAGTGAATAAGTAAAAAGAACAGCCTGGACTCAAAAGGTCATAATAGTCAATGAGGAACGTAGAGGAGGGAGGAAGTAGAACTCACCTTCGACTAGGACCACTGCCAGTGGGCATTGTGGTTGTGTCCAAGGTCACCGTGGTCTCAGACAGCTGGCTGCTCTGAAAGAAGAGAGCCAAAGCATCCATGAGCTCGTGGATCTTTTTTTTTGTTGAAAATATAAACGTGACATGTTAAAGGTAAAATCGTGCTGGAAAGTAGCTACAACAGACCAAAGGCAATGCTCTCCCTTTGGCATTATCTTGCAGCTCCAAAATTAACATCAAGAACGCAACTTCCCCACAACCAACCCTGCGCGCCTCAAACAACACAAGTTTCGTAAATTTGGGCGCACAGATTAAAACAGGTATTGTTTTCTTTTCCAAAAACGAGTTCCGTCTTAGAGTGGTGCATAAATCAGCCTGTAGCATCATCAAATAGTCGATTAGAGCAGAACACGCCAGAAGGTGGTCATAGTGAGGCAGTAACTACCACTAGACGACTCCATTCTCGGGTTCATCAACAGCCTAGTTTTCAAAACTGGGATTGCTTATGCAACATCTGATCTATGCCAATAAATGGGATCCAGCTTCCTGGGTTCAAAGTTTGAGGACGAACGAATAGGCGATGCTATTATTAAAAAAAAATGATGGATCGAAGCTCTGACTAGTTTTTGTGGATCAGAACGTGAGGACAGCCATAGATTTTGCAACAAACTATTGCAATGCTATCAGTGAGCCAATGGTTAAGTTGGCATCTAGGTCTACGTGGGTGTAAGCAGAAGTGAAATCCGAGCAAGAGAGTGTTTATTTTGTAGGTAAGTAGGAAAGAGGCGACTCACTGGAGTCTTCGCAGAAGAGACACCCACGACATCAGAAGGTTGGAGTTGTGGCGGTGTTGGCGATTGTGAAATTAACTTTTCATTGCCTTTTTCCATCCCCTTTGGTGCTTTTAGCGGCTGCTCCTCAGTTTTCGCCCTCCCTTCTTCTAAAAGGACCATGCGAACAGTTGTCAGAGGTCGTCAGAAAGCCATCCGACATCGGAGATTCCACAACAATTCAAGTTATTGATTGGCATTGAAACATGTGGACTGATGAATAAGGAGTGGAAGGCGTCTTGTACTACACGCAGTTCATGCATTGCCCCCGCACAACCTCGTGTAACCAGAGTAATGTGGTTGAGGCGAAGCAGAGCGCCTCTACCTCTGGCTTAATGAGGGGTGATAGGTGAGAGATGGTAAAAAAACTCCCCTTAGCGGAGACGGACAAATAAACGGAAACTTGCAAAGGAAGAGCCGTAGAAAGCACTAGTGAAAACGGAGTAAACAGGAAAGACGGACCAAAAGTTGACTCAAATGTATATGATACTCACTTCCAGTCCTTGAAACAAAAAGCAAAAAAAAACTTATTCTCTAATGAGTCGTTAGGACTAACTGGAAAAGCAAAAAACTGCCAAATGTGCAAAGAATGGTGAAAGTTGAATTTAGTAAGTACAGGGAAGACGGTGTAAGTGATTTCAAGTGGCTCAGTGTAGTGACCTGACAAATTAACAGGCTGCAGCGCCATTACTTACCCTTGGCAGGTGGTGGTAATGTGGGCGACGATGACGGGGAAGGAGGTAGCTTCTCCGCTTCCTTTGCCTCTACCTTCGTCTCCAGCATACGTCCTCTCGCCTTCTTTTCTTCCTCCTCCTTCTCAATCTTCATTGCAACCTCATCTTTCTGCACCTTCGGAAGTGCTGTCTCCCGTTCTTCTTCTTCTTCTTCCTCCTCCTCCTCTTCTTCTTCTTCTTCCGTCTTTTCCTCATTGTCTCGAACAGTTTTTGAAACCTTCGAGGCAGCTGGTTTAACAACGTCTTCAGGTTTGGTTTCCTCCTCCTCCATCTTCATTGATTTTGAAGCTTCCACTTCCTCATCTTCAGCTCTGGAAGGGAAGGCAGTCAGCAAACAGTTAAAAGCTGTTAACTAAAAACAGCTTCTGCGTGCACTAAATGATGCCTCAGTCCATTAAGCAGTGAAAAACCTAGTGGTGACAAAAGCCACTTCAAAACTAACTTCCTCCAGTACAATGTTCGCACAACCCTTGCTGCATAGCGAGTTGCTTGGGAAAAAGAAAAATTCGCATTCCTCTTTACCCTAATTGCCTTTACCGAACACATGTGTGCCATCAGCTATGCCGCATAACTCTGACAACCACCAACGAAGCAAACGCCCTCTTCGTTACCAATATTCGGGGAGGCTGAAGAAGTGGCTTTAAGATTCAAGATTCCTCCAAGCATGATAAAAAAAGGCAAGATTGCATTTCTAGTGATGGCTTGCTGAGTGGAGTCAGCAAACTAGTCATACAGTCCTCATCCCTCAAGGATCACCTAAAAGAAGGAGTTTGGAAATATTTTGCCATGATTTTGGGTTACACAATTATCAGGAGACACCCAAAGCACGGAGAGTCAGAACTGACTTGGCGCTGTGGTGGTAAATTCACCGACTGCCAGGAAGGTGATAGTTAATACTCATGAACCGACATACATGTTTGCCCCCTAAAGACAAAGAACTCGTGCGCATTTACAACAAACGTCCAAGTACTGCAGGATAAAATTACTTTGAAATTGCAAAACTATTCTGATCACTCGACAATAAATCATCCACAGATCAAATCACACTCTGATGATCACACGAAGATAAGACTGCGCTGCCACGAATGGAGTCTTTTTTTTTTAGAAGAACACGGCCTAGATTAGACATTTCAACATAGGAAATCACCCGTTGGATTGGAGTAGAGTCGAAGACTTACATCAGCCCTTTTAGTTCAAAGTGCTACACGCGCAGTCCCAATGCTATTTACCACAAGCAGTGAAAAAGTGCTTTCTCTTGAGGCATAAACAAAGCTGCTTTTCGATAATCAAAAAAAGTGAATAAAGAAGGGAGTGCATACTTCCGTCGAGTAGCGACAGTGGACGGGGCAACAACTGTTTTCTCCTCTGCTGCCGCCGATGCTGTTCGCTGGCGCTCCTGCAAATAAAGGAGAGTAAAAAGGACAGGTGAGAACGACAGTGTAACGACAAAACCGAATAAGAGGGTAGAAACTCACGATACGCAGCTGTCGCAGCAGCATGGTCACACTCCGATCAGCCACGTCGTAAATTGATTGGTTCTACAAATGGAATCAGAGGTGTATAGGCGGATAAAAATAAATAAAAGAGGGGATCACGGAAATGACAAGGCACAGCACGTGAACGAAAAAGAAGAGGAAAAATTCCCAAACATTCACGAAAAATATAGTACTCACAGTGAGAGTTATGGTATCAAATGAGGCTCCAGCGGCAGCAAGAAGTCGAAGCGGCTTCTCCTTCGCCCAGTGCGCGGCGGCATGCAGGGGCGTCCACCCGTCAACGTCTGTGGCGTCAACCTCCACATCTGGCAGCTTTAATAGGAGCTCCAAAACCTCAGAGTAGCCCTTCGCGGCCGCGATGTGTAGTGCTGTGGCACCGGTTCTCGGATCAACCACACGTCTGTTGCAGTAATAAAAGTAGGGAAAAAAAATTGCAACATTGAGCACTTCTTCTCACGACATATGCAACTATGCATTGGCTACTCTTTGAAATTCACCCCAAAGCACAGCAATCAATTACCCATGAATGCATTTCGCTTTCACCAATAACTGTTTCGTTCATTTTTGTAAAGAAATTATTTTAATAGGCTTTCTCGCATTGACCTCGGAGTAATCAATTACCCAAGTCGAGTTCAAACTACTTCAGAGTGATTTAAAAATGAAGCACATTTGGCCTACAAAGTGGATGATCTCGAGTCCCACCGACCTGGTCCTACTGGGATTGAACCGGCGTAAAGAGCATTGACTCGGTTCATAAATAAGTGTCTACAATATATTTTGTTTGATATTTTCTGAGCTACGATCAGGCATTCGGTTATGGAGTTATCTGACAGAGCAGCTATGTGCCGAGTACTTTAAACTTTCTTGTGGTCACAAAACACCTCGTCCAAGTCATGGAAGGTAATCCGAGATAACATGAGAAGGCCTCAAACCTCAAACTTAAACAAGTATCAATGAATTGTAGTGGTGATGAAGACCTGAAGTCGCCATCAAGATGCAAAGCAGATGAAAACGACTAGCCTAAAATTGCCCAATAGTGCCTCTCCAAGATGGACAAAAAATTTCGTAAAGAAACTGCAGGTAGACTGGTGTGATTACAGAAGATGAGCGTGACTTAGACTTGTTGCTTGTTTTAGAGTAAATGGGTGAGTGACGTGTCGCAAGAGAGATACAAATGGCTCCAATAAATGACAGCGAAGCTGTAGAATAGGGAGTGACTTACGGATACTGGCCTGATTTGAGCCACTCTCTGGCGTCGTTCAGCATCTGCTGTTCCTCGGCACCGCGCGCAGCCTTCTCGTCGATAGACTGACGCTGCATCCAGTCCTTCAGCAAGGCTACCATATCTCCGCCCTGTGCTACGTCCAAAGGTAGCTCCTGCTCGAAACTCACAATGCCAGCGTCTGCCCCGTTCTCAAGTAACAGTCTACCAGTGGAAGAAGACAACAGACGTTACTTTTGCTTTGCAAATACTACTGTCTATTGTCCGGTAATAAAACCTGCTCTTCTCCTTTCGAATGATGACAATAAAGGTACTTTGATACCGCTCTTACATTTCAATTTCACCTTGTAGGGACTCATTAAAGCAAGACATTACATTCCAAATCAATTCATTCATTCTTTCCTTCAATCAAGAGCATACTTTTTTAGACATTATCATTCACATAAGTTCCACTTGCATGTAAAGAATACGTCAATCCATCATATATCAACTTCTTAACTTTGGGTTCATCTAACGACTCACCCATCACGGATTTATTCACAAACCTACACAACTATAATCCAATGACAGATGAGAGGCATTTGTGGAGTGAACTCAGAGGTTCAAGAGGAGCATTAAAGCCTGCCGATGAATAAAATCTGTAGAAGTTCCTCTGTGAAATGATTGAAGTTTCCAATAGTTTATGATGATCGCTCCTACCACCTTTTCGCATCAGTCACTTGCGTTTGAAATACACCTTTCCAAACCATTAACAGCACCTGCCTGAGTAGCTTTTCCGCCCGGACTGGCATGAATCAGTTTGGGACAGAGGAGGGTTGGGTGATCACAGAAAGGCCGCCTACAAATGCCTTAAACCAGTTGCCTCCCAACCTCGCTAATCACCTTCAAGATTTATCTTCCCATTTGTTTTAAAAATGAGGTGCGTCCTACACCCAACATCCAAGAATTATTCATTGATAACGCAAAAAGTAATTGCCTCCCCAGTTCAAGCAGCATGCACGCAATTAATTCATGCCCTCTCTCTTGCAACTTCTACCCACAATAGTGAAGAAAAAAAAACCTATTTTAGGAGTGGCATGACACTTGCCAACGGACTTTACACCACCCTTTCG